CCTGTTTTTTAGGTAATCAAGCCGAGTTTAAATTATGGTATCATCCATCATATGAGTAATTGTTTAAGATAATTAGCCGTGAAAAAAAATATGAGTTTGTAATTTATTTGGTTAAATTCAGTTTTTGAGTTAATTCTTCTCTTATGAACACGTTTTTGCGGACGGATGTTGTGGTATTGCAGGAAAAGATGATTTAGATATATACAAATCCATTATCATGAAAACCTTATTTTTTTATTAATCTTTTTACACGTGACAATTATTTTGTTAAACTTTTTACACTAATCGTGGTAACAATTTTTTAAATGGGAATGCTATAATAAAAAATAAAAATACAAAATTTAATCTTTATTGAAAAATTAATTTATAAGTTTTTATATACATATATATAAATCGCATATTTCAATAGAAAAATATTATTTTTTTAACATATAGTTATGCAATATATACAACTTAAATAATAATTAAAAAAACAAATACATTGTAAAGATTTCATTTCAAAGTTATACAGATAAAGTAATCAAATTGGTCGAGACTAATGATAAAGGTATATATTCCATATTATGTTTTTATAGATTTATTAAAAATACAATTATGCTGGATATATTATCCATATAAATATAATGTATCTACCCTAAAAACGATGAAGAGGACTTCGCGATAACTAAACTTAATTATTTGGAATGTACATCTTTTTATATACATATAAATAAAAAGCCAACGGTTCACCATTATACAAATCATATAGAGATCTTTTACTTATGTTTATTGTTTTTCACTCCACACGTATAAACTTAATTTAATCTAAATCTGTTTTTATTAAAAAGAGGTAAAATAACATTTGGTTTCCCGCCTAAACTATTTGAATAATATTTTTTGTCAAAATTTGAAAAAATCCCGCCTAAATTAATGTACAAAATCATTTTGGTCAGATATTGCGGCTATTGCCTTTATTAGTTGCATGATTTAAATTTGGAATATAATATATTGACAAAACTTGCAGCTATTACCTTTATTAGTTACATGGTTTAAATTTAGTATATAATATATTACAAAAAAAAAAAAGATTTTTATTTAAATTTAAAAATAAAAAATAATTATTCATAACTTACGGGTCAATATTTACTTGGACGTAAACGAAATAGTCAATTATATAACTTACGGGTCAATATTAACTTGGACGTAAACGAAATAGTCAATTATTTATAATTTAATAAATTACTCAACTCCTTAATTTTTTTTTATTTTAATAGTTTATACAATAATAAAATATTTGAAGTAATGAAACAATATAAATTTTATATTTATACTTATTATTCACATAGACTGTTAAATATATGATAACATTTTACCAAAATAATTATTTTATGGAATCACATACACTACAAGAAAAATGGTTATATTCCAACGGAAAATCCTATGGTAATATATTCCAATGGAAATTCCAACGGATATTCCAATGGTATAGTTTTCCAACGGAAATTCCAACGAAAATATTCCGTTGGAATGTATTTTTCATTGGAATTTTAGATGGAATTTGATGATTCCAATGACTATATTTCCAACGGCTTTTGACCGTAGGAATTTCCGTTGGAATATGTAATTTCCGTTGGAATTTTTATTTCCACCACAGTTGGAAAATGTATTGTTGGAATCATCACAATCCAACGGAAACTCCAATGGAAAACTCATTCCAACGGAATATTTTTGTAAGAATTTCTGTTGGAATAATTCCAACGAAAATAATAATATTGAAATATCCATTGGAATTTTCGTTGGAATTCTATTGGAATATATTTCTGTTGGAATTTCATCATTTTCTTGTAGTGATATAGTCAAATCGATTTTCTGAATCAAAATTTTGGAATGGTACTTATTTTGCAACGAATATAGTGTAATTTATTATCAGTTATGTGCACCACACAGGTTGTATACTAATTTTAAATAGACATTTTTATTTAATTTTGCACAATTTAGACTTTATATAACACTTTCAATAAATTAATATAAGTAAATTGTATTACATATTGATTCCATATTTTAAATTTATAAATATTATTTAATAAGAATTTTTTTTGGTAAAATTTAATAAGAATTTTTAACTATAAATATTAATAAATATCTCTTATCCGTGCATTGCACGGGACTTATACTAGTATATATATATAGGATGTGGTTCAAATGAGAACCAAGTCCTAGCGTGAGAACCGTGAGAACCGCTATTTTTAATTGTATGTAGTGCTATGATTGATTGTATTTAATGCTATTTTTAATCAGGATGTATTTTATTAAAAATAGCAACTTAGCATTTGTAAAAATGATAGCACCATGTAAGATTAAAAATAGCATCATACACAATTAAAAATAACATCAAATATGGTTCTCACGGTTCTCACACCAGAAAAGGTTTTTATTTGAACCACTCCCTATATATATATATATATATTATAATTGTTATCAAAGCATTAAATAGAACCTAATTAATTAAGACTAAAACCGTTACATTTTATATTCTTTTTTTTTTTCCCGAAACGATAGATAGTTTTATAAATCAAAATGCACAAATGTGCGAATACACAACAGCCAACAGCTGAAAAAGTGGGAGGACAGGTCAGAAGCCTGCCTAGAAACCCGACTAGCAACGCTAGAATAAGAAACACACACACAACTAAACTAACCAACAACACAAACAACTAGAACAACTACAAGGACCCCAACAGGGTAATACCCGAGTGTCGGACCCCAACGGAGTAATAAGTTTGACACCCGAGCTCGCAGAGGCCAAACGGCCCAAACCAAAGACACGTCCTAAAGCACAAAGACAAACACGAACACAAAAACAAAACAAAAAACACGAAGGACAAACATACCTAAATCTACCAACACACAAAGCCCTTCCTAGGCAGCTTAACCAAGCAGAGCCGGTGGATACCAAGTCGACCCCGAGTGAATCCCACAGCCACAGGACCGACCCGAAACTGCCCAAACACCAACTCGGTGGCCTAACGAAGCCGAAATCCATGCTCCAGAACAACACTCGAAATCAGACTCGAACTACTACCTCAACACCCAAGAAGCCGCAGGACCGCCACGAGACCGGACTCCCTAACACCACTAGCTAGTCCAACCACAACCAGTGAACCCCCGAACCACAAAGATGCCGAGGCCGCAGCCACGGCCCCTACAACCCGAAGCCACCACGATCCTCCACCCACCACTGCCCCTCATTGACCATCTCTACTGACCGGAAGACAGAGCACTGGGTCTCCCCAAACCCAACACCAGAGTAAGGGAAACAGGGCGAAAGAATCGCAGAGGAGCTCCGGCCGTCCGACACCGTCGGCGTCGAACAACCAAGGCCCCACCCACCCGACCAAACACGCCCACACCACCATTGCCGCGACCCAGGAAACAAAAGTGATGGTTACTCATTTGAAATTCAAATAAAAAAAATCAATGTAACTATGTACAAAATTATTTTGGTCAAATATTGCGCTATTACTTTTATTAGTTGCACAGTTTAAATTATGTATATAATATATTGACAAAACTTGCGGCTATTATCTTTATTAGTTCCATGGTTTAAATTTGGTATATAATATATTGACAAAAAAACAAAAATATTTTTATTTAAAATTAAAAACCAAATAAATAGTTATTCATAACTTACATGTCAATATTAACTTAGACTAAATGAAATAGTCAATTATTTATAGTTTAATAAATTATTCAACTACTTAAATTTTTTGATTTAGATGAGTTATATAAAAATAAATTTATTTTAATTAATGAAACAATATAAGTTTTATATTTATACGTCTTGTTCACATATGTTTTTAAATATATGATAAAATTTTACCAAAATAATTATTTTATGGAATCACATTGTTGTCAAATCGAAATTTTAGATAAAAATTTTGAAATGACACTTATTTTGAAATGAATAGAAAGTAATTTATTATCAATTATGTGCACCATACGGGTACTGTACTAATTTTACATAGACATTTTTATGTAATTTCGCACAATTTAAATTTTATATAAAAATTGCATAACATATTGATTTCATATTTTTAATTTATAAATATCATTTAATAAGAATATTTAATTTACAAATATTAATGGATATCTCTTAGCCGTGCATCGCACGGGATTTGTACTAGTTTAATTTAACGTACCGAACAAATTCTGTAGTTTTTATATAAGATAATCTCATATATTTAGAGGAGATTATCTCCGTTTTTATAGGTATTCACAATAACTTTGTTACGAAGTTTAAGAAAAATATTTTATTCTATAATTAATTGTGTACATAGGGAAAAAAAAAGTCGGTATATTTAAGCAGGAAATAAATACACGATTCACGGTCTTATTTTGTATAAAAAATAAACATACAATAATATTTGTATCTTAAAATATCTCTTCTNAAACCTCTAAAATTATCAAATTATTTTTGAAAAATTACCATAAAAAGTTGCACCTCAACAAAATTAATATTTCTTTGGTTAGGAAACCTAGTTGTTAAATAATCATACTTTTTCAATATATATACATACTTTCACTCAAATTTTAAAATATAATATAAACTAAAGTATAAAGTTTATAAGACAAATATGCATTTTTTATAATAAAAAAAAAAAAGTATGACTGCCTAATAATTAGGTAACACTATAAGTTAGCTATAACATTAGCATTTTTTCAACAAATTAAATTAGGCTATTGTGTCTTTAGCCATTATTTTTGTCCTTTTCCTTTTTGTCTCTTTCATGTTTTACACAACTTCACAAATCATTCAAATAATCAATCCACACTACAAATTTCTATTCTTAATTGTATCATTTATATGAATCTTTCGAGAAGAAAATCCATGAGAGAAAATTAAATAACTGCGCGGCGCAAGTCGCTATATATGAAAAGACTTTATGTGATACGTTGAGATTCAATTGATGCCAATTTCAACTTTTCTAAATACAAATAGCATTAATTGCTATATGGATTAATCAATTCTTGTTGGACAAATGAGGCACTAAACTGCTAATTTATAAAATAAATCAAAGTTTAATGTCATATAGCTCGAGAATATAATCTTTGTCTTTGAGATTTATGCATTCTTAAATCACCTAATAGATATTTATTAAATAAGTATGTAGCCTTTTATTCGTGTCCACCAGCTAATAAAATGGAATAAAAAGTGTTTCAACATAATAAACTGCTGGTTTACTTTTCCGCAATGATTGACAAAATAATTTGATTTTGTTGAACAAGTAATTAATGAAACTAAATTTGGATAAAGGATAATGATAATGGCATAATGGTTTGCATATTTTCGTATGTTGAAAATGTTCATTTGTACATTAAAGTAGAGGAAAAAATTATATCAAAATGATTGTGGTTGTAATTAATTTTTAAACGATGCCATGTTTATGTAAGGTTATAACCAATGTGATGTGGCAGTTTTAGTTGTCCATGAAAAAAAATCAAATGAAATGTTTTGGGGTGATTGTTTATGAATTCAACTAAAAAAAGACAATCAAAACTCAAATTTAACTCAACATTACTATCCTCAATATTATCAATTTAATTAAATAATATCAACCAATCATTTCTTACACATCACATCAACTTTAATTCACTATTCATCCACTCACATAATTTTAATTAACTGTCACTTGCAATCATTTTTCTTCTAGTTTACATCCAATCAACTATAATTATTTTATTTAAATATTATTTTAATATATCCACTAGCAATTAATAATACAACCTTTTTTCAAAATTAACTATAGTTAAAAGTCAAACCAAATAAAAACTAGTTGAATTCATAAACAATCACCCCCTAAGGACTTTTTAAAACTTTTTAAATTTGGTGACTTTTGTAGACTTTGTAAAACTTTCATGATTTTGGTAGATTTGTTGAGACTTTTAGAGAATTCTTTTTTTTTTCCCGAAACGATAGAGGATTTATATATATACGCACAAATGTGCAAAGTTACAGCCCCTGGCTGAATAATACAACCGACGACTGAGAAAACTGGGAGGACAAGTCCGAAGACCGCCTAAATCCGAAAACTAGCAATGCTAGAATACTCGGCAACACACTAAATACAACACACAGAACAACAACAAAAAAACAATAACACAAGACCCCTACAGGGTAATTCCCGAGTGTCGGACCCCCACAGAGTAATGAAAATGACACTCGGGTGTACTGAGGCCAACGGCCCAAACCTAAAACACAAAGCAACACAGACACGGATACAACCGGGGCCAACGGCCCAAACCTAGAACACGAAACAGAAAAGAGAACAGCACAACCTAAACAAAAAAACACTAAAAATAAAATCTAAACCAAACAACAACTAAAAGGCATCCCTCCCTCAGCAGAGACTTCCAAGGAGGCCATCGAACTAAGCCAGCGACTGGAGAATTCAAAGCAGCGGAACCCCGCTCACCACTGCCTAAGGCCTAGCGAACCCGGAGACCGAAGCCCCAAATTACTCCCAATAGTCGACCTTCACTCCAACCGCAGAAACCACTTCATCCCCAACCCGGCAAACACCTCAAGCCAAGAACCAAGCCGACCCGAAATCGCCGAAACCCCAGCTCATTCGGAAGCCGGCTAGAATCCAAAACTCGAAACAAAGAGCCGTGAGAGAGGAATTGAAAGATCCAAGTCCAGCCGCCCCACCCAGCCTGATGGACAGAGCCAAACCCGCCGGAATAAAACAAGGCACCCGCCGACCACAACCAAAAGAATACCGAGACAAATTGGCATCCGTAGAAGGCAGCCAACACAACTCACCTCTTACAGTCGCCAAAACTCCGGCGGAACAGAACCGTATCAATCGACGGCGAGATAGCCACAAGGACCAATCGAGCGTACCTTGAATCCAGCTTGAAACACCGAGCCCATCAGTCCGACCACGGCGACCCGACCTCACCCCCTCTCCAGCCACTGTCTTCCGTTCATCCCACTCTCGTCGAAGCACCCGAAGGAAGGGCGCAGAAAGGGGATCTGCAAACCCTAGGCGCATCTTTCGGCTGAGTGCTGAAGTGGAGAGACGAGGCCAAATCGGGGGTGAGCGGCGAAGCACGTTCTCCGGCTAACCCGGACTACCGCCGGGGAGAATATAAGGCTCGATCAGAAGACGATGATGCAGGGATTTGGTTAGGGATTTTTCTCCGAAAGGGGATCTTCCGCACTAGAGTAGTTTTACCTTAACGTGTTCTAAGTCTACTTTTAGAGAATTCTCATTAGTGACTTTTTAAGACTTTCATAATGGATTTTTTAAAACTGATTGAGACTTTTATATACTTTTAATATTATGTGTAAATGAAAAATTAATAAAACTAATATCAAGAAGAATAAATGAGAAAAATGTTTTATATATTAATCCTCTAAAAATTTATGAATCAACTCATTGCTATGCGAGATGAGTTATTCAGTAACAAATTGTTTAGGATTTTAGATTTATTAAACGAACAAATCAATCCGAGCTTCAACAAGTTGAACTATGGAAGATACAAACATTGTCGAAAAATAGTAATTGTATCTTATAAAGTTATCAATAATATTCAAAATAATTCAATATCAACAAATAAACTATTAGAAAATAAAATAATTTTATTAATATTAAAAAATAAACATTGACGAATAAAAAGAGAGAACAAATAAATTATTTGCAAATGCAAACTATAGAAACATTTAACCTTTGAAAAATCAAATTCACAAGATAACAAAATGAAAGATTGAAGGTATAAATACATAAAATAACCATAATAAAAAAATATATAAAATAAAGATCACGTTGCATATACATAATGAAAAAATAAAAATTATACAAGGTATCAAAATACGTTTATAGTGATTTGGACTCCGACGAAGAACGAAAGCGGTAATTATCCCTCACATTCTTTTATTTAGCTATTTTTGTTCAAAAAATGCAAAACATACGTGAAACTTGATATGAATCTGTATTCAGGTATGATGAGCGAGTGGAGGAATTACTTGATGAGGCGTCTGAACATTTTGTGGCCAAAGCAAAAACACTTCGAAGATGATCAAATTCTTGAGGTACACCCGTGACTAAATTAACCACCCTTGTCCACGATTTTTTTTTTTTTTTTTTTTTCTTTTTTTTTTTTTTTTTTTTTTTCAAGTCAATATTCCTGTAAATTTTTGCAAGGTCTTCCATCAATGGCTGGCTCATTTGTAATCCTGAAAGATTCTTTTTTTTCATGCATATAATGTACACTGTGTTTGGTAAGCATATATAAGCTAGCTTATAAACTTCCTGTATTCAAATAAGTTTGGTTTGATAGGACGGGTTTTTCTAAAAAGCTCGAACTTATATCATAAGCTTTCTTGGGTAGCTTTTCAAATAAGTCAATTAAATTTTTTATTTCAACTATCTTATCAGCTAATTTTACCAAACATTTTTATTATACAATCTAGCTTCCAGTCATAAGCCATAAGCTACGAATTATAAACCCCCAATTCACTTAAAAGCTATAAGATATCTTATTTATATTTACCAAACATAGCCATAGTTATTTGGATTTAACCTAGACTTATTTTAATTGGTTCGGCAAAGGGTGATGGTGACACCAAGTTCCACTCCAATCAAGACTTATTTTAATTGGTTCGGCAAAGGGTGAAGGATCGGCCGAACAAACCAACAAGGGTGAGTAATATCAACTCAAAACTGAAAAATCGAGCCTGATTGTATGATTCGGTTCGATTCTATTTACTCTTGTTTTGCGGTACAGTTCAATTATTTTTTCACAACTTCAATTTTTTTAGGCGGTCTTGCACAAACAGAACCTAGACACATAGGAAATCGAATAATTAAAAAGTACAATTCGTTGCAGTTCTATCTTATTTGAAAAATTTATATAATCTTTAATATTTTCAGTTTGGTGAGGTTTTGAAGCTCACCCCTTAACCAACCCATCAAATTATCATAAATATCAAATTAGTGAAGTAATATATAGCCGCACTTGATATTTTACTTCCAGATTTATTTTTTTTTTTTCTACAAGACCTTTTCCATTAGATATCACACTCAGTTACAGCTTTCACTGGATGATACTGAACCAAGTACTATCTCCCTTACATTTTTGTTTCACAGACAATCATTCTTCCACAGTTTTTCCTTGATCATTAGTTCAAGAAATTAATGATCAAGAAATTAATTCACAAGGCGCATAATTTAGCCAAGCATGCAATTTTCTCACTCTTACGAAAGAGCATGTTTGGAATCATTGTAAGAAGCTTTGGATTTGGCAAGCCTATCCATCAACATGTTGTAACTAGCAATATCAGGCAAAAACCCTCTATCCAACATCTCATTCACCAAAACCTCACCCTCCTTCTTTCGACCTTCTTCAACACAACCTAAGACCAAAATTCTACACACCATAGAATCGGGAACCAAACCATTTTTACAAGCCAACAACCGCAACTCATTTGCTTCCCGCGCACTTCCCGCCCCACACATATCACGAAGCACACAACTAAACGTCACAATATCCGGAATAATTCCATCTTCGAGCATCCTTCTCACTAAACCAACCGAATTCTCAATCAATCCCACCCCACGCAAACCCTCAACTAGAGTCCTGCACACAATCGAACTTGGCTTATAGCCCTTGTCCCACAACTTATCCATCAACTCTAAAGCCCTTTTCGCCTTCCCCTCTATACAAAGAATCTCAACTAGCACAAAAGAATCGAACTCTTTCGGTAAAACCCCTTTCCTCAAGAACTCGATCATCAAGTCAGCCACCTCCATTATTTTCCCCCCTTCTACTAAGCCCGTCTACCAAGATATCACAAGTCACGCATGAAAAATCACATCCCAACTCAATCATCTCACGTGCCATCATGACTGCCCTTTCGGCCTTCCCATCACGAAAGAAGCCTTTAATCAAGGTGTTGAAACTAACCACATTTGGAAGGCACCCTTTCTCTTTCATCTCACCAAACACCTGTAATGCCTGATCGAATTTGTTACTCCTACAGTACCCACTAATCAGTGTGTTAAAAGTGACTGCATCAGGTTTCACCCTGTCATAGAACATCTTTTCGTAAAATTCCATTCCTTTTTCCACTTCCCAAGTTTAACAAAACCTTGGATCGCAATATTGTACAGAGCAACATCTGGCTTACCGTCGATTAACCTTCTCATGATATTGAAGGAATAGAGAGTGTCAGAGTCGTCCGGATCTACAGAACGAGCTAATCGAGACACGGAAAATGGACTCGATTTTAGGGCAAGATAAGATTCCGTCCGAGCAGGGGCAGGGGTTGGAGGCTATGAACTCGAGGAGAGATCGGAGGGAATCGAGGCGGTCGGTGGAGGCGAGGGATCGGAGCATGTACTCGAACGTGTGGTGGTCGTGGCGGAACGAGTCGAGCGTCGCGGCGTAGCGGAAAGGTGGTAGTCCAGATAGCCGAGGGCGGGGTTGTGGCCGAGGCGGGATCTGAGGAAGTGAAGGAGGTCCCTCGGCGTGACGGCGGATGTTCTCTGTTTGAGGTACGAATCGAAAGTCGCGCTGAGACGGGTTAGTTGTGCTCGGGCGGCGGCGGCGGTGGTGGAGGGATCTACGGCGGAAAGAGAGGGCGAGGCGCCCGGGAGTCGGAGGGGCGGAGGGGGCGTTTGGTGGAGGTTCCAGGGTTCAGAGAGTTTTTTAAGGGCTTTGTTCCGGGACATGCCTCCGTGATTGCTCCGCCGTGATATAGCAGCTAGAGTTTTTTAAGGGCTTTGTCAATTTACTTCCAGAAATTGAGACTAAATATTAGGCGTAGGGGTTATATGAATTGACCAAATTACCCCCTCATCTGTTCAATAAATACACAAGTTTCGCAACCCTAGCTGCTACGATCCGCCTCCATCCTTCGGTTCAGAGAAAACTGTTTACTTATTTTAGTATTTTTCCAGTATTTTTTGTTCATTATTTTAAGCGCATGGATTTGTGTTTGTGTATGTGTGAAGGAGCGATGATGAAGGAAAGAATATATAATCTCGTTAATCTGATGATTAGTGAGGATAAACATCTCTAATCCATTCTTAATCTCCTGAGCTCCTTCTCTCACTCGTTTCTCTCAACTTTCACCATTTTTTCTACTGATTTGATTTATCGATTTGCTAGTTCTATCTTGTTTTCAATTTTGTTTTGTTTGTGTTCTGCTGCGAAAATTATTTGGAAGCCAACATGAATTTCCCCAATTATTTAGAAAAAATGAAGGAAATGTATTTGTGTTAGCATAGCAATATTATATGTAATATTTTACCATTTTAAATACTATTACCTTTTTAAATACCTACGGCTTTAAGTTGTAACTTTATAATTATGTCGTTTATAATTGCCTGGTAGATTCGTTTTCATTTTGATTTTTGGAAGCTATAACTTGAATATAATTTAGATAAAATAAGATCGGTACTCTGATTGAGTCGGAGAGAGCATGAATTAAGAGCACTTGGTTTATTTTGAAATGTATGGTATGGAGAAAAGAACTAAAAATATTTTGTCTATGTGCTTAATGTCAATTGTGGAATAATTTGAGACATATAAGATAATAAGAGAATGTTTGGCTATAAAATATCTCAAAAATATTTAATTATTTTTTAATTCAAATTTAATTCATCTATTTACATAATTTTAAATAACAATTACTTTTCACATTATTTTACTAATATTTTTACTTTAAATCAATTTAATTATTTTATTTTAAATAATATTTTAATATAAATTTAAAATCACACTTTACTTTAAATTAATTTTAATTATTTTATTTTAAATAATATTTTAATATAAATTTAAAATTACACTAACACATTTTAAAAAATTAACCAAATCAAACAAAAAATTTCAAACAAAACTAGAAAAAAATTTATTTTAAATAATATTTTAATATAAAGACATTATGTCAGATAATACTGAATTTATGGCATTTTCCGTCTAAAAAAAATAGACATTATGTCAGATAATACCGAATTTATGGCGTTTTCCGTCTAAAAAAATATTTGATTACACACCATTGTTATTATATTATTTTTACATTATATCGAGGATGTATTGTTAACTTATAATATTTGTAAAAATATTAGTAATTAGACCGATGAAGCCTTTTAAATAGATAATGAATTTCCAGTAGTAATTATGAATTAGTTTTTATTTTATTTTATTTTTTAAAATATTTATAGATAAGAGATGAGATTTTTTAAAATCGTGAGACATATGCAATATAACAAATAAAATAAACTTGAATATTTGTAAAAATATTAGTAATTATACCGCTGAAAATTAGCCTTTTAAAGTAAATAACGGATTTCTAGTAGTAATTATTAGTTTTTATTTTATTTTATTTTTTAAAATCTTTATAGATAAGAGATGAGATTTTTTAACGTATGCAATATAACAAATAAGAAACTCGTGTAGATTTATGATATGAGATTTTTGTGGGAAAGTTTAAACCAAAAGCCAATGGAATTTATTGTTTATGATATGAGATTTTTGTAGGAAAGTTTAAACCAAAAGCCAATCGGATTTATTGTTGTAAGCTAGAATTAAGGAAACAATGCAATTAAAGAGCTGGTTTTTATGCCTATTTACAATTGTCTTACCATTATTATATTTAAGATATATTTAATAATTTTGGCGGAAAAAAGTTTCTAAATTTATAAAAAAGTTATTTTTTATATAGTGATAGATTTCCTTTTCCCAATTCCGGCGACGAAACCGCCGTGTTTTGCCTGCTGTTCCGCCGTGATCCAGCACAAAAACGACCAATCAAAGATGAAAACCGCGTCCTCTCACAAGAACATTTCAATTCCGACCGCCGTTGAAATTCAATCCCCTAAAAACCAAGCAATCAATCATCTTTCACGGCTCTACGAAAAGTATTCAACAATTTGACTCATTCACAAGGCCAACACAATTCAAAGACGCCTCTGCAAATTTCAAAAAGCCTAATCGATTCAATTTTAATCTCAAACTCCTCGATCTATATGTATATATAGATTGGAGGCTCTCGAGAAAGGCAAATCCCCAAAAACACTTCATTAGAATAGGAAAGGAAAAAAAATGGAGCCGTTGATGGAGGAGGAAGAGTATAACTGGCGGGAAGTGACTCTGCCGTCGCTGATACCGGTGGTGGTCGCGCCGGAGCTCGATCGGGAAACCGGCGAGAGGAGGAGGGGCCGCGACGTGATCGTGGCCGTCGATCACGGGCCCAATAGCAAGCACGCCTTCGATTGGGCTTTGACCCATTTTTGCCGTCTGGCCGACACTGTTCATCTCGTCCACGCCGTATCCAGTAAGAATCAAATCATTTGCCCTAACATTTCTAATTTTTTTCCCAATTTAATCAATTTTTTTTTTTTCCTGATTTTTTCATTTTTCCCCATAATACGGGGAAGGTTTTAAGAACGAGATTGTGTACGAGATGACTCAGGGCTTGATGGAGAAGCTTGCCGTGGAAGCATTTGAGGTCGCTATGGTGAGCTTTATCAGNATTATAATAATGGTCATCAATTTGTGTTTCATGGTTCATTTGATTATCACAAATTCTATGGTGTGGCTGAGACAGTTAGATGAGTAGATGAGTGAATCCGTCATATTTTTACTTGAAATTTGAAAGTTTGTTTGGCTCGCCTGATGTGAAATTTTACTCCCATACCAAGTTGAGCTCATACTAAGCTTTGAATGTCTTCAAAAAACATGAGATTTTTTATTTTCTAATAAAGTGATAAGATTTCAAGAAGAGATAATGACATTTTTATACTGTGGCAAAATGGTGGTTGAAGCTGAAAGCTTGATGATTTTATGTGAATCATAACTTTTGAAATTACTGCTGGTAAATCTGGGATGAATTTCATCCTACCCCATGTGGGTAAGTGTCCACATTAGCTTTTTTTTTTTTTTTCATTGGATCAACATTCAACACACACCCATATGTGTGTGTGTGAGAATGTGTGTGATCCAACGGTTTGAAAAGTCTACCCACATGTAGAATCGAACTCTGCTAAATCTTGCACTTTTACGAACATGTGTTGAATTTGGTGCTTTTGTTTCAAGTTTGATGACGATCAGACAGTTTTTGACATACATGTAATTTAGCCATAATGGCATCAAATATATTTCTCTTTTGGGATAATTTTTGTTTTCGAGTCCATTGGAAGCTCATCTATTGCTTTCTACGACTCGTAAAAGTTTTAGAAATTGAAAACGAAAGCTTAACAAACCGTTTTGTATCAAACTCGTAACCTCGAATCCATGTTGAAATAACAATACTAAAAAATTCCCGAAATAGGTGAAGACAAAAGCAAGGATTGTGGAAGGTGATGCAGGCAAGGCAATATGCAGAGAAGCCGAGAGGCTAAGACCTGCAGCTGTTGTAGTAGGCACAAGGGGCCGTGGCTTCATCCAAAGGTACTCTTTTTTCGGATTTTGGTATTTTACACAATGTTGCGTATTCGCCATTCTCACGAAACACAATATTTATTTATTTTCTTTTGCAGTGTAATACAGGGAAGTGTTAGCGAATACTGTTTCCGCAATTGTAAAACAGCGCCGGTTATAATTGTTCCTGGGAAAGGTAGAATTTTGCTTGTTAACTATTAATTCTTGTTTGTCGGTTAAATGTTGATATAAAATATAAATGCATTGTCTGTCATTTGAGTACAGATGTGGGGGAAGGATCTGTTCTGTGATGGAGCTTAGCTTGCTGGGGTTGGGGAATGAACAATTGTAAGAGTTTTGCGCTTAAATTGGTCTGCATTTTGATTGATTTTATTTAGTGTCGTAATTGTCTGTAAGTATATTAGTGCTTAGTTAGTTGTCTGTAAGTATATTTGTTGTGCAATAGCAGGATAATATGTTGATGTTCTGTAACATAAATTGTTCTGATCTCGTGGAATAAATTCTTTTCATTGAAATTATGATTGATTTTTCAAAATTCATTTACAACCTTTTTTCTTTTCAAACTTTCACTTTATCAATATAATTAAAAAATATAAAATAAACTATTACTACACATTTGTAATGAAATTTATTGCACACATATTTCTAATTATTAATAACTTGTTAATAATTTATTGCACACATATTTTTTCAACAAAATATTTTCCACCTTTTTCATTACTATAACCAACACATAAATTTTATTAAAATAAAATAATCCACATTTAATGGAGGGTGAATAATTCACTATCAACTGCGAGTGAATAATTAACAATTTATGGTGGCCTAGGTATTGGTTTTCGTAATAAAATTTATTTAAATACTTATTTTTATATGTTTGATATTTTTAAAACATTTGTTTATTTTTTTCTTTTCCTTTTTCTGCAATCTACAACCTACATAATCACATAGAAGTTTCAATTAAAAAACATTTGCAAACGAAAGTATGCAACAGCCAATGAAGTAAAAAAAAAAAACTATAATTAATAGATAGATACGATTAAAAATCTCAATTTACTTCATTCAGCAGAACTCTGTAAACATTGATTTTGCACACAAGAAAATCCCAGCAAACAAACGACGACGAAAAACAGAAAAGTGAGAAAACTAAGTAACCGGAACAGCATCAAAAGTCTTCAAAACACAACAAAAGCCTAATTTCTCCAGTTCCCTTCAGAACGGTCGCCGCCATAACCACCACCACGTCCCCCGCCGTAACCACCCTCCCGGCGTCCTCCGTACCCACCACCACCGTTTCCACCGCCGTACCCACCCTCACGACGGCCTCCGTAACCTCCGCCGTTTCCTCCTCCATATCCACCACCATCACGGCGAGGACCACCACGGAAACCCCCACCGCCACCACCGCCGCCGCCGCGGGACTGAGCCTCATTCACGGTGATGTTCCGCCCGTCAAGCTCCTGGCCGTTCATGGCGTCAATCGCGTCCCTCATAGCTTTTTCGTCGCCAAAGGTAACGAATCCGAAACCTCTTGATCTACCAGTCTCGCGATCGATGATGATCTGAAATTCCCACCAACAAAAAATTCGCCAAAAAAAAAATCAGATCAAATACCCCCAAACGTCAGATCGAAAAAATACAAAAAAAATGAAACGATGATTCAATCTTCAACCCTCTGGTAAAAAAGAGGAAGACGGAACGTACCGTTTTTCCGGTGGGTAAATACAGTAACAGAAACAGTAACACAGTAACTCAGAGAGTAGTAACAGTAGTAACACAGTAACGTGATTTTTTCAATCTTTTTTTTTCTTAGTAACAGATCAGATAGAGAGACTGCCGGAGTCCGATCCCGGCGACAGCAAACAGACCTTCGATTCGAGAACCTCGCCGTATTTTGAGAACGCCTGCTCGAGAGACTGATCAGTGGTGGCCCACGCCAAGCCACCGACGAAACAACGATATTCGACGTCTGCTGCGGCCATTGATGGGCTAATTAAGATGTTTAAAGAGAGAAAAAATTAAGGACGGCGGAGAGAGTGAAAACGGGCCGAGTGACGACTGAGGAAGAAATTTAGTGGGATTATATAGGCGGAGGTGGCTAGGTTGTCGTGGTTGCTCGACCGTGGTTAAACAGTGGAAAGAGGAGTTGTTTTGTAAGGGATGTGTGGTTAACTAACCAGAGTTAGACTAGTTAGTTAGGTGGGGGAATAGGGATTAACGAGATATTTTCAGTGTGGGGTCCGCTACGTGACGCACGGGTTAGTTTTTATCTTTATCCAAATAAAAAAGTAGTAAAACGCTATCATCTCGTCACGAAATCTTTTTCTATATCTATCTTTTCCCTTAAAAATATCTTCGCCTTTTACGATAGTAATAGTATTCTTTTCATGAAATGGGTTAACGTGGACCCGAATGAAATGCACATCTTTTAAGATCCATCCAACAAGATAGAGCCCAAAAGTATGATTGCAGGCTCAATAGCCCAATTGGCTCAACTTTACTCAGTATCGGCCCATTAGATAAAACTAGGCCTTGATGGTTTTAAGTACATTGCTTGGGCCATAATTTATCCATCTATCAAGATATTACGTGTAAAACTAGTGCACATATGGAAGATATGGAAGGACATTCGGGTGGCAATGATTGGCACGATTAGAAAAAATAATTATCAAGACAATTGTCGATAGGCAAAATTCGAAATTTCATATGAATAACACAATATTGGTGAAGGTATTTTTAGCCTTTTTATTCTTCTTATGACCCTAGTATTCATTTCTTCCTATCTTGAAGTGTATATATACTGAACTCTCAAGTTTTATCCTCTTTCTTATATATTCTTCATATTGTATTTGAATTATGTATTTAATGGCTATACCAATAATAATATTATATAGTACAAAACAAAATGACCATAAAGGAGAATAATTACCGACCAGTTCATCAAATAAAATGAAATATAATTTTTTACTGACATAATTCCATTATATATAAGTAATGTCTTTCGGTGCATTTTATGTTAATCTGCCTAATGCAACTTATGCAAGTATACCCTTCCAACAAATATACATATTTTCATACTAATTATTCATATTTCAAAATACAAAATAAACAATATTGTATTTCAGAATATAAATATATATTTAAAAAAAAAAANAAAAAATTCCATAATTTTGTGTAGATGTACAATTAACATACGATTTTCTCTTTAGCCGTTTGAGTTTCTCTCTTTTTTTTTTCATATGTTGACCTATATATGTTGTCGTATCTGATATTATTTTTAAAAAAATAACCTTACGGAACTTGTCAACAATTACAACTGAGTGATTGAAAATTAGCTAGCATCAATACAATTGTGTGATTATATGTCCGGATAATGTTTCAATTTTGAGCCAATAGTTAATTTTTAGCACTTAACTTTTGATACTATCGTTGAATTTTTTCACACACATATACGTGGAATAAAAAGTAATTTAGAAAAAAAATAATTAATTAAGATATTGTGCATTAATATAGAAAGTAAAATAGATATAGATATATAAAGAAACTGGCGTAACAATTAGACATTTATTAATAGTTCATCTAATATTATCAGTATGCATTTTTATTATTAAAAAGAAAAATATGAGAATCAAAAAATTGTGCTATACATATGCTTTCAAAGTTGGGAAATGAAAAAGATGAAAAGGATGAAAAAGCTTAGTCACAGCAGAAAAGGGATAAATAGCTTATCATGACTCATCTTCCACCTTGAATCACGTGTACACCTGAATTTACATTATGTTACAAAATCATTATTAATGATTCGAAAATTAAGATAACACGTTGTATAAATAAATTAATTAATTGACTAATTAATCATTTAGAGAGCAAATGAAAGGGTAATCATAGACTTGACACAAAGTGCGGCTCATGATCCCACATTTCTATTACGTGTTTGTTCATATAATATTTGATCCTCTTTTTTCAGTGACCTCTTCTTCATCCATCTTTTGTGTCCTAAAGTAAGTTACTTAGACAAAATGACTTATATTCATATACTTTTTAAATAAACAAAAATTACAATGTGTGATTGTGTATTATGAACACGAATTAATATATCAATTAACTGTAGAGTTTTCATAATGTACTTCTTAATGTACAAGCGATGGGTATGTGAATGTTTCAATTCTTTATATAAATGTAGAGTTATAAGTTCAAGTTTTAATTTGTGGAGTAATTTAAGTATGTGTGTCAATTTTTTTTGTTTCGTAATCCTATAAATAGATTTATATTGTTTTGGAGCAGTGGCTTTGTTTGTTTTCCCAGTATTTTGAGCAATTTAGTGATGTTTGGTAGACAGCGGAATGAGATGAAATGCCAAAAATCAAAACGCTGTATTTTACGGCTTTTTTGGATCAAATTTTCAAATAAAAAAGTGCTATAAATAAATACATAAATAAATCAATTTGCTAGTACAAGAAAATATGTACAAGGTATCTTGAGCTATATTTTTTTCTATAGTTTTNTAGAAAGCAACTAATTTCACCCAAAAAAAATACACATCTTATTTATAATATGTAGTTATGTATATAATTATACATGGAGGAAATATATATGAATATATGTATATATATATATATAGTTGTACCAGGATAGCTAATTTAATTAATTATTATTATTTAAATTTGATCTTCGAAATTAAGTTATTTTATAATTCTTAATATATATTTTTAATAAACTATTATTATTATTATTATTATTATTATTATTATCATTATTATTATTATTATTAGAGTAATTATATTCACTGACATTAATTATTTAATTCAATTTATTAACATCAATCAATTAATTTTATTAAACGTTTTAGCACAATTTGTTAATGTAATTTGTTGGAATATACTTGTGAGTTGTCTCACATTGATTTGATAAGTAAATGAGTCTAGTTTACAAGCCTAGTGGGCTACTCCTCTCATCACCAATTGGTGTTGAGATGGAACTTCATTAAGGTGTGCGGTTCACTGTGTGGGACCGCACCCCTGATGCCCCGATTATCAAAATTTGACATAATCCGTCGGTTAAAACAACTAACACAATCTGTTGATCAAAACAACTGATATGAACCGCTAATGGTTGATTGCCAAACATGACCCACATCTATATGAACTACTGAAAAACACTTGACATAGGATTTCATTAAAAATTAAATTACGAAACACTATAAGTTCACAACAAAGCTAAGAAAATGAGTAGGGGGAGATTTTCATGCAGAACTGCACTATGTTTTTAAAAAACATGCACTGAAAACTTAGGGAATCTTCAGAGCTGGAAAAGTAAATTAATGTATAGACAAAGCAAATTTTACAACTAATATCAAATTCACACACTCATATTTAAGGGAACGAATAGAGAATTAAAATGAAAAAATAAATAGCCAAATTTTACAACTAATATCAAATTCACCCACTAATATTTTTCATCAAGAATATTGTTTTATGTCTTCCTCTATTTTTATCCACAAACACAGCGATTTGGACATTCATTATAGAGTTGACTTGTAAGTGAATAAAAGTCCAAAGACAAAAAAAGAGTTTTGTTTTGATATATGGTTCAAATGGATTTATTATTGAAAACCACAAAGTTTGAAAACATCTAAATCCGTTTTCAAGTGTCGTGTGGATTTGTGAGACCAATAATCAACTAACTTATGACAATAAATTAGAAATTGGCCTTTTTTTTATCTTAAAAGAATTAATCTGGTGTCGCTCCGTCAAATAATTTGGGCCGGCGTTTTTTTATTTTTATTTTTATTTTTTTTATATGTAATACAAATGCATATAGCAATAATCTAGAATTTTTTATTTTATTTTTGAAATAAAATGCATGAACGAATATGAGGTTTGCAACATTCAATTATCTCTTATCACGGTTAGAATGTTTTCGATTTGATCTCCTCAATTTCTTCAATCGACTCTAATTGGTTTGATTTGAAATTAAACGCTTTAAATATAAATGATACGTGTACATAATAGCGTCATATTTTACACTTATAATTCATTTAACGAAAGGAGATGTGCCGTGAAAATGAAAATGGAACAAAAATATGAGGCCAAATTAACAATCTATGATGCCAATTAATAGATGATTTTGTATTTAGATATTTATTGATGCCATGTCATTTTTTTATTTTTATTTTTTAAATAGAGAGATCATAGTGCTAGCCCATTAAATCCCATCCACAATATAAAATTGTTGAGTTGACTCAGATATGGGATTTGACCACATCACAAGGCTCACACTTAACTCTATTTNACGCATTAAGGCCCATGACCCCTGCTCTCCGGTGCAACTATTTTATTATTAGAAAACTAGTAATCACCCATGCAATGTACGGGGATATTATTATCTATACGTTTTTTAAAAGACAATTTTGTATATAAATTGTGTAATAATGCAATGATCATGATTAAAATAGACATATAAACATATAATTAAACTGAAAGATCATATATTATTGAATACTTCTCTATATACAACATTATTGGTTTGATTATTTGACATGTCATCTTCGCCACAAATTAAGATTTTTAAACCTCTTCGGCTAGTGACACGGGAGATAGCAACATATAATTGGCCATGACTGAACACTGATTTCTTAAAAAATAAGCCAACATGAGATAATGATTGTCCTTGGCTTTTGTTTATAGTCATGGCATAAGAAACCATGATGGGAAACTGTCACCGCTGGAACTTGAAAGGAATTCTAACATCAGAAGATGTTATGGCCATTCTTAGAATCAACACCTTATCACCAGCCTGATCTCTTGTGAGATTTCTTACACTCAAGAACATCAGTGGTAGCTTTGTCACAACAATCGTGTCCCATTACACAAACCCATAGAATGATTCATGTTCCGCAACAACATGACTGGAGTTCCAATCTTCAAATACAACTCATTGTTCGGTATTCCGAAACACTTGATACTATTCAAAAACTCAGGCG